AGACTGGCGTTGTCAGAAAACCACGACCTCGTCATAACTGCCTATAATAATAATAATAATAATAATAATAATAATTATTATTATTATTATTATTATTATTATTGTTATTATTGTTATTGTAATTGCATACCCCCACTCGGCCACCAATCGCTTTTACGTAGTGCTGAGACTGTTATTCTTAAGTTGCCCTATTTACCCGTTAACGCAGCCACAGCAGACTCGTGGTAATCGCTTTCGACACGTTGCCGACAATGCGAATTCGACTTGGCGTCGCGCAGGTGAACTAGTTGCTACAACGCGCGCATGCGCCCGCCCAATACTATATTCCGCCCCAGAAATGAAGTTGTACGAGTGGCAGTGCACCATCGATCGGGTTCTTTAGGTTTTGGCCCCATAATCTGCTTCCACTCGCTCTCTCCTTGCAAGCTTGTCTGCCTGCCACCCCCTTACCCCAACCACCGCTTTCAGGTAATTCAATACGCGACGACCGAGATAAGTATCCCCAGCACCCAGGATATTGATATTCGCGTTTTACACGTATTATAAGTCACGGAGATAAGTCTCGGATCGTAGCTATTATTAAAGCAATTGGATAAGCGCGCATTTTGTATTCGGCAGTGGCCAATATGAGGAATCGGATTGTAAAATTAGTAAGATTTATTCGAGCACAGGGGACTGGGGAAGTGCCTTAAATTCGCATTCATCTTACAATTTATATTACCTGCGCATTTCGGCCAGCGACGATGGCCCACAATTTTCAAAAATGCAATATTTAATCTTCCCATTGTCTTCAATTTGGACCTACTAGTAGCTCGCTCAAGGTCTCGACTATTCGCAAATCGAGACCTATTGAATCTCTGCTTTTCGCATGCACGATTAAACTTTTAAATGTCATTATTACAATAATAATAATACATTAAGAAAATCTTTAAAGTATTTGATTGAAATTCGTACAATCGTACTGTCAGCAACACCAACAACGCCAACGAAAGTACTACTACTACTAGTAGTAGTCGTAATAGCAGTAGTAGCAACAGTAGCAGTAGCACAGTAGCAGTAGTGGTGTAGTAGTAGTGATAATGATAATAGCAGTTGTACGGCCGCAATAGTAATAATAGTAAGAGTTACGATAATAATAATATTGCTAATAATTTAACCAGTTTTCTACTGGTTTATCTATTTTACTCGATGTAACGGCATTTTTCCTGTCCGTTAAATAATAACCTAAATTAATCAATAATTCAAGTATTTGTTTCATAAATCCTCATTTGAATTTTCATGTAGGAAGTCAAGGCCAAGTTAAGTCGTTATGTATTCTATAAAAAAAAAAAAATTTTTTTCCTATTCTTTGTAACTTATTATTAAATAAACTATGGATTTATTTAATATCATTATTGATCCATGTATCTTAAATAAATTTAACGACAAATGTAAAGGAATTAAGACTTATTAAAAAAAAAAAAAAAAATTTACCTTTGTTATAATACTTAGTATAAAAGGCCTGTGGCTTTAGAAAAGCAAACGGTCAGTGGCATAAGCTCATACAGAAAAGGAAACGTCAAAATTGAAAACGAAAGTTCAATTTTTCGAAAAATAGATATATCGAGCGAATCGCTACAAATACCCGAAACGCTGAAATTTAAATGAATATTATCATCGTAATGTCTCCGAGACATTTTACACAACGATATCCCGATACTCATAATTTATTATACAAATATTTGTAACCATTTATAATTATTTATAGCTTCGTCATAAATTTTATACGAACGGCGGCGATTTAATTTCTTATGTATTTGGCAAATATTTGAGATTGGAAGCCAGGACTATTAGCTTGGCTGAAGCTTATTTTTAATGCTAATAATCATTAAAAGAAGTCGGACATGAAATAACAAAAAAAAAAGATATTTTTATTGAATATTAGCTGACACTCGAGACTGAATCTTCATTGTGCACGAGCATGTTTTACCCGATAGATGCACATCGATAAACCGATGAAAATTTGTTTAGCTTTTATTCTACAAAATCGCCATTTATTTTATTTTCGTTTCGCGACTGAAGTGAACACACGTTTACGAAGTTTGTTTAATGCTTATCCCGCATGATTTCATCATGGCTTAATACTATCCTTACTAATACATTAACGTCTGTACGAGCAAAATATTTTTAACCATGCGCCAAATAAATGCACAACTGCTATTCGGGAGACATAATAGTTTGTTAGGAGCGTTATCGTCTCCCTCTCCCACACACACAGAGAGAGAGAGAGAGAGAGAGAGAGAGAGAGAGAGAGAGCCAGACAATCTCAATCTCAATCTATCTCTGTCTCTCTGTCTTTCACCGAAGTGTCGATTTAAGTAAGTGAAATTATAATCTCTATGGAAGATAACATTATTACGCGCATGAAAGGAGGTTCATTTTTTTCGTCGTTAGGTGCTTGCTCAATATGGTTGAAAGTGCAACTTTAGAGCTTTCATTGTTCGAGTATAACGACAACAGATTTATTATCTGTCACGTTGGAATGCTAAAAATATTAAAAAAATAAAACGTAGTTAAGCCATTATAATAAATTATAAAATCATAGTAAGTATAAGATCGTTAAAAATTAAACTGTTTTCGTAACTTTTTAATGCTTTGCAATTAAAAGTATAATAATAACATTTGAAGCAATCGTGTGACTATCGAGACGCAATTTAATTAAAAAAAAAAAAAAAAAAAAAAAAAAAAAAAAAAAAAAAAAAAAAATTAATTTTTACGTTTATTTAATTTTAAACTTTTCTCGTAGAAATCAGAAGTACTTTTGTGATTATTACGTTCATCCGATATTTACGAAATTTCTCTACCGAAATTACAGCTACAAATTACAAAGAAATTTATAAAGAATATTTATCATTAAAATTACGTATAATAATATTGTATTATAATTAATATTACATTAAATACGGCGATTATTGTAATTATTATTATTATTATTTGTTTCATAAGAGTGTGTATTTGCAAAACACGTGCACGAGCGTACGCGCGCGCATGTATACACGACAATAATTGATTCAACTCCGTTACAGGCATTTTTGTGTACGAAAAATTTTTTTATTGATAAAAAGATTTTTTTATTGATAAAAAAATTTTATGCGTGAGTAGATTAAGTTTAATAGCGATCAACTCGTTTGATAATGAAAACATTTTAAAGCGATCTTATTGAAGATATTGCCAATGACTACTCCTTAAATCAGTAAAATTAATCATAATGATTGTAAAGTTAGAAATTAATGGATTAGTAATTAATCACAAGGTAATAATACCTTCTTCTTCTTCTTCTACTTAGCATAAGCATATAGGCAATTTCTCGGAACGGGAAACAGCAGTCTCCATCCAAATTATCCGTACGTGCGTTTATCGACTTAAGCGCACATACGAATAAATAAACAAACAAGCGAAAAAGTAAATAATTTATAGACGAATAAACTATATTTGCGTATCAAACGCATTTGTTTTACGAATGCCTATCGATCACAGCCTACACAAGTGTTTGTAAATCATTGAAAATCTTTATAGACATTTGCTAATGAGTGCGAAGCAACCGTTAATTAAAAAGATTTAGAGGCTCGAGTTCAGCATCTGAGAGGGCAACAGGCATTCCCAGCTAAATAAACGGACTTTTCAATATCCTATGCAAAACCGTCATCGCTTTTTTCTTTTAAGCACTGCAAATAAATAGTTCATTTACTTTGTAACCGGATTTATATGCTTTATCGAATTCTTGTGAAAATGCCATAACCGAGTTGAATTTTGAACGACGAATAGTAACGGTAAAATCTGCGTGCACCGCTCAATGCCCTTTATTTTTCCTCATTTTTTTCTTCCTTTGCGTAACAAAGTGTCTTAGCTTGTAAATTCAATGAGTTTGGAAAATAACAATGAACATAATTGTAAAGCCCAGTTGTTGACTCGCTGGAACCCGAATTAATTCTGCAGCATGTGACACATTTTGAATTATTGTTTAATTGGTTTTTCACTCGTCAGTGTTTAATTATTGTATACTTTCATAATAAGTTTCTGGCGTTTGACAGGACGACTGTGGGGCTAGGAGCCGGGCGAAAGGGGATAACAAGTATTGTATGGATAATTCATGAAGCAGTCGTAAAATCGGACACTCGGTTGCTATAAATGCGGACGTAACGATGTTCTCCTGACTGTAAAAAATTTATCCGTTAATCGTAATGATTTAAAACTGCGTTGGCAACTTTAGCATTTTTACGCAAGTGCGCGGCCACGCACTGCAAGCCGAAATTTAGCTCCAAGATTATTGATAGATTTGACGGATCAGCAACACACGACGGGCGAATAAAAGCAAAAAAAAAAAAAAAAAAAAAAAAAAAAAAAAAAGAAAAAGATAAAGAAAAAGAAAAAAGAAAAATAGAAGGATTACAGGCGGTGTGAAAAAAAAAATATCCGGTGATTAACGACGAGCAATCAAAGTGAGCAAAGTGAGCGAAAGGATAAGAGCAAATACGGCAAGAAGGAAGGGAAGGAAAATTTTGAGAAATGAGCAACCGACTCGGAAAAGGTAGCCGCCAATCGCGGGTGGATGGTTTGGTCCCGTTTGGGTTCGTTTGGGTTCGTTTGGGTTCGTTTGGGTTCGTTTGGTTTCGTTTGGGTTCGTTTGGGTTCGTTTGGGCTCGTTTGGGCTCGTTTGGGCTCGTTTGGGCTCGTTTGGGCTCGTTTGGGCTCGTTTGGGCTCGCTGCCCGACGGGAGACGTGAAAAGCCACGGACCGTTTGCATTCCGTAGGGGGACATTGGAATTCTCGGATTCGAGTGCGCGCGTGTGTTGTCCGAAGCTCCCTCCGCCGAGCCACCGCCGACATTCGAAAAACAACGGCCAGTGCAGCCGCACGTAGCCGGCCACAGTCGGAATAGAAAAGAGAGGACGTGGGCGTGTTGGGTCGGAGGCAGCGCGGGTGGGGTTGAGGTAGGAGAAAGAGCGTTCGATGGTCCTCACCTGTTGAAGGTTTGCTCGTACTGTTTGATCTCGCGTCTGCTGAGCTCGTGGAACTCCGTGTAGACGTTGACGAACTTATATTGCTTCTTAACCTCCCGGCCCTCCTCGAGGTCCTCGTTGATCTTCTGTCGCCTGCTCAGGAGCGTGCTCAGCTCCGCGTCCGCCGGCATCCTCGCTTGCGATCGATCCTCGCCCGCTCCGCGCACCTCTACGGCCACGCGATTACCCGGGGGTGGCCGGTCTCCTGTCTACTCGTATTCTCTCTCTCTCTCTCTCTCACTCTCTTTCCGCCTTTATGGCTACGAGTGCGTGAGGCCCGTAACAGAATGCTTCTCGACCCAGCTACAACTTGGACTACGGCTCGCGCGCTTCTGCTACTCGGCTGCGACTGCGTCGAGGCGGCGCTACTTGCGATCGAGTGCGCGAGTCGACACGTGCCCGCGCTGCTGCCGCCGCCGCAGCCACCGCCGCCGCCACCGCCGTCGACCCGTCGCCCTACCTCAGCGGTGAGCGGGGGCGACCGAGACTTGGCGACGCGCCAGGGTTTTCCATCTCGTCCTTCATCCCTAGTCCTACACGTTGAAGAAGATCGCGCGCCCAATGGGCCTGCGCTGATGCATTCAAGCGCATTTCCGTCTCGGATGCGTCGCCGTTCAAAATAGGGGCAAGAGCCCTTGCCTGCTTCTCATAGCCTCTTAGCAATAATTGTTGCATTGTGTAATAATAACTATTTGTACTGGGAGAAGGGTGGTTGAAGGACGAGAGAGAGAGAGAGAGAGGGGGGGGGGGATGCCCATTGTCCCAGATTAGTTAAACTGGAATGGATAGATACCTTGTAAGCGGCCACTTTATCTCCTCGCTTTCTCTGCCTCCTCCTCAGACATCACTAACGTTCGCCCAAACGCTGAATTTAATCGATAATAATTAATTTTTCATGATATATTACGATGATATTATTTTGAATTAATCTTTTATATATCTTTTATCGTTTGAATTTCAATTGTTCTTTACGATAATTCATCCGTTCAAAATGAAGAAAAAAAATGTAATGATGTGTACCAGCAAATAGCCCGGCAAGTTTTTCAGAAAATTAAACGCTATACTAGTTGTAATATACTCACTGATTTCTATTTTAAATATATTAAGATTTAAAAGAAATTGTAAATAAAGTACATCTTTATTAGGCACGTAAAATTCTATCTAACATACTCAATAGATTGAGATGTACGATAATATAATGATATTAAAAACTTTCTTATTTTTATGGTAAGAAATTTACGTATCAATCGAATGAATGTCAATGCTACTAACGGTAAATACAATATCATAAACGCTGGAGCTTCATTTTATTCAACATTATTGTAAATGTCTTGTGTTGATCAATAGTAGTAATATTTTATTATCTTTATTAGTCAAACCACAAATTGCAAATCCAACTTCTTCTGTCCTTCATAATAATGAACTATTGCTCGCGGAAAAACCGGGAAACATAAAACAAAGTGTACTATAAAAAGAGAAATCTACAATGTTCGTAAATTGTGTATTAAATTTTCAATTTGATAAACCGTGCACTTCTTGGTAAAATGATTCGACGTAAAAAATCTTCTCTACGTAAGAAATTGACGTATTAATAAAATGCGGTTAAAGTCGGTTGCTATCCGCCCTTTATACTTACAGCAGCAACTTGACGATATTAGTAGAAAAAATAAAATTACGGATGTACCCGTATAATAGTGTCGAGTGTCATTGTGTCGATGCAGCTCTAATGAAACATTGGAATCTTGGAAATGTTTGGGAGGCCGTTGGAAGTGTATTCGCACGTGACGCAACTCAGCCAAATAAAGGATATCGAATGATTTTTTTGTTTTGTTTAATTTTCCGACGCTGCGGCTCAGGACTTTTTCATAATAAGATTAAACTATTGATTAGCTAATAGAATGGGTCAACATTTTTAATGCATCATAATACTGACTTTACGGAATAAGAAAAATATATAGCGAGTACAATTGAACTGAAAGGTAAATATTTAAACAATAATAAAAATTAATGCTTAAAAAAAATTATAGTATTGTCTAAAATTAAAGAAACAATGCGACTAATCTAGATATTATCCATGTGATAATATATGTATATAAAGCCATAATATTTAACATATATAATTTATTTATGTATGCAAATTATTTAAGAATGTCTAGCGGGATCATGATTTCATAGCTTTTTATGCAGAGTGACATTATTAGAAAAATTATTGGACATAGTTGTACAAAAAGTAATTATAATGCAGAATCCTTAAATAATAATATTATCAGTTTTTACTTTATATATTGAGGCTCGTTGGAAAATATCAACGTATTATGTTTATTTTATTGGCTATTATACCGTAGCTTCAGAATCTTAAACATTATTCAATATTACATTATGTATTATTTTTATGTGATTTATAATTAGTTTTACTATCATTTTGCATGTAGTGCTAAATTCTTTTTATCGTTTAAACATTAACACGCAAAGCCAATTTTGATTTTTCGACTTTAATATATATTAGTATTCTGTGACTGCTACTCTATCATCATCGAACATAATATCGATATTTATGGTTTACAGATACAAGGGCATTTGTATCTGGACACTGTAATAACTGTATTTTCGCGAACATTTGCCGAATTTTCAAGCAATAGTTCATTGTTGAACTTCAACGTAACCTGGTTATTTTTCGGTAATTTTATTTAACAAATAATGTGCACTGATTAGTTATTCAAGCAACGTACAGCCTTCCGTTATTTTTTTATTCTATTTCAGTTATAGATATATATATATATATATATATATATATTTATTTATTATAAATATATATTATATATATTATATATTTATATTTATTATATATTTATTATATATATATATATATATATATATATATATATATATATATATAAATAAAAGTTTTTATGCAATAGATGATAGATTTATGCTTCTCTTCAGAATTAAGTATCAAGTTAACATATTATTTTTAATAACGAAATCTTTGCTACGTTAACAACGCGTAATCCTCATATTAAAATAATATATTTTATTCATCTATAATTAAAAAGATTCAAAATTATTAATAATTACTCTACTTTAAAAGCTGTAAATTACAATCATTTTTATCAAATCAATTCAACAAAATTACTTCAATCGATATACCAGCATCTATTAACTATTTTTTTTCCTCTAAATTGTTAAATTTTCCCTATTTAATTATTTAATTTTTTATGGAATATTTCTTATCGATAGATTAATAAAATGTTACATATTTTATATATTAAATAATATTCACGATAGCATTATTAAATGTATCTAAGGAAATCTTATGTACATTATTTGATGATTCAATAATATATACAGAGACCACAATTTTAATAAGCGTCGGCATAAAAATTTTACTTGTGCATATATAAATATTTGTATATATTTTATAAACAATAATTAACAGAACTTACTTAAAGAAAATAATAATATACAATTAATTTGAATATAACTGTTAAGAATGTTTTTTCATTCATAGAGCATTTCGAAATAAATAAGTTATTTGACTTATAAACAATATCGGTTTATTTGCAATTCTCCAAAAAATATAAATCAATTAATAAAATTATAAACAAATTAAACAATTTAATGAAAAAACTTTTTCTCTTATTTTGATAAAAAGATTTATATATTATAATTATTGACTAATCATATGTTATTAATATTATAATTAATATGTAATAAGAAAATTAATTTACTAAGTATTGATTATAAATAGTGCATTTAAATTTATTATATGTTAAACATTATTAATATACCTAATATTATTCATTCTGATAATTTTATACTTTATATTCATTATTATCATTTCATATTCTAAAAATATTATTGAATCATAGGCATAATTCTATTCGTTTCATATCATATCCTGAAAACTACAATATTTTTTAAAGAAAGTAAATAAAATTTTGTAAAATATTTTGCTTTATGTATGGAAATGACAATTGTAATCTGTTGAAGAAATTATAGAATTAATCGCATGTAAGAAAAATCGTAACAAAAATATATTTCAAATAATAAAATTTGTGCGAAATTAACTTTCAAACGTATTTAATTAATAAAAAAAAAAAAAAAAAAAGTTATATTCTTTCAATTATTACTCAATAATACGTTTAAAAGTGTCGATTTAATATTTCGTAATTTATGTATTATTAACATACAAAGCATTACAGGTAAACATCGCGCATTTCACAAATTTATTTTCATGAATTCGACATTAACAGTATATTTATTATGAATTTATAGTTTACTTATGCATAAGATATTTTTCGCTATATTAACGAAGCCTTTTATTAAATTACTTTATAATTTTTTTTTAGCTGTTATTAGAAAAAAGCTCGCATTCTCAAGGTTCGTGTGTAGCCTTGTCATTTTGATGGATTATTGTCGCGTAGAATAACTTTTATTTCTCAGCTCAATTTGTAAATTGTACGATGTTTACGTTGTTAACTCGCGAAAAATACATTCATAATAATTTCAAATATATAATAACGATAATGCTTATTATTGTTTTAATGATGATATCAACAACAATAACAACAATTATAATAATATGATCAAAATATACATTCATAATGTGTTTACGCCATTTAAATGAACTGAATTCTTATAATTATAAATCCCTGGATTTAAATTATTTTAATTTTCAATAATATTTATATAATTCTAAACTCTATGTAAAATTTGTTTAATATAGTTTAATAGAATCGAATTTATTAATTCTCTTTGTATCTTTATTACAATAATTTATTACAGCTGTCATTAAAATATTTTGTCTAATAAAAAATAATTTTTATTCGTTCGATTGCTACTAAAATACTTTATTACGTAATTGCTTAATGTTATATTTAATATACATTTAGAACCAATCAACGATACATAATTGGACATTTTATATTACATAATTAGATACATAGAATTCTGTTGTAACGACCATTACATTCTATGAAAATTACATTTCAATTTTAATAATATACTCATTATATTTGAGATCGATATTTTATTATTTTATAAATACATATGAAATTAAATTGTCATCAAGATGTTTTGTATGGCGAAATTAACTTCATAATACTCGATGCTAATTAGATAGAATATTCGTTCTCTAAGCACAGTTCCGGTTGTAAAAATAATAACATTTGATGCCGAACGACAGCAAATTAATGTCGTTGTGAAGTTGCGATCGTAAGATTTTTAGAAA